ACATAACAGTTTGAATGTGAGCTGCAACGTTTTTCCTTGACAGTACGTGAAGACAGATATCTCGATATCTTGATATCTTGGTGATATCACGGAACTCGAACGCGAACGTGAAAATTAGCAACAAGCGGGTGCCCGACCTTCATAAGAAAATAGGGTTCGTAACGCTATCATTCAAAGGAGACCACAATAACATAAGATACCGATATTATCACCGTCAATCCATAAAATTATTATTAGGCTGCTGAGCTTTCACTCTGGCACTAAGTTAAGAACCCGCCGTTCAAATCCAGTCTGACCAGATCAGACTCTCATACATTCTCATGTTGCTCTGTACCTACGGTAGCAAGTACCTCGGCCGAAATGAGGGGAGACTATTCACAAATATTTTGTAGCCTATTCCGCGAAACTGGCCGTGAATGGTCTGAAAATACCTCCGAGTTCGATCGCCCGACGCATACTTGACTGCCCCATGTGTGGAAGCATACGTGAAGCATTTAGGCTAATCAACCACATACTTCCTTTTGTCGAGGTTTCGGCAATTAGGTGGCTGAAATTCGCTCTGTGTAAACAGACCGAGTTCGTCGTTTGTCTCGCATCGCCTTGCTTAGACTGGTGACCACATTCCTCTAAGCTAGGGATGTCCAAAGTCCGGCCCGCGCGATCAATGCGACCCGAGTTAATATTTGAACTGGCTCGCAGCGTTATCATGAAGTAATCAAATCAAGCTTGGCTTTTTCATTACAAACGACATTATATTGAATATAAAAACATTACATACGTTAGGTGTACAAAATTCAGTGGCTGCAGCTGCCGGCAAAACTCCTTGATGTAGTATTGGTTATTTTTAAGCAACTATGGGGTCAATATAGTATTTTTACTGAAGGAGTCATAAGTAAATGGGCTCAATAATATATATATATATATATATATTCGCAGATATTGTATCCCTGTTCGATGGGTTTCAAAGGCGCATTTAAGACTTTGCAGCTATTGAAACGGAGATAAGTCTTTTTCCTTCGTCTTTCTCAATGGACCCTGACAATGATCTATTCCATTGCAACTTGAGCTCATTGAGTTGCAAAGTGATGTTGGATGTCGCGGTAGGCGCCAACTACAATCTCTCATCAATTTTTGCCGCCAGCTGGATGAAAACAGATTCTAAGGATTTCGAACATCTGCTAAGAATATTCTTTGCTTGTTTGGCTCGACTCACTTTTGTGAGCAGACATTTTCGGTTTTGAATCTTAACACTAACCGTATGAGGACGAGACTAAATGATTCTCACCTACGTACTATCTTGAGTATAAATACCAGCTCCTATGAACAGGTCCTGACCAGTTTACTGCAAGGAAGATTTCATTTACACCCTTCACATTAAAATATTGTAATAAAATTTTGCAACCTATGTCCTTTTTTGTTATGATCTCATTGATAAGTTAGTATGGCCCGGCACATATCTTCCTCATAAAATCTGATCCTCCTTGCAAAAAATTGGACACCTCTCACGACCCGGCATTATACATGTTAGCTAGAGGTGTAAATACCTCAGCTACTGTGCCGCAATATCTAAAAGAAAAAAGCAACAGTTGCATGCCAGCTTAACCACCAGCAACGGATGGCATCGTTCCGGAAAGCTACCAATCGGCTACTATGCAAAAAACCAAGTATATAAAATTATCTTGTGATACCAAACGAGATCATGGTTGGAGGGAGAGGCTAAGAGGGATGGGATTGGACAAAGAAACTCACAACACGAACGCCACTGAGGTGGGCTCCCAGCCATGTCAGCAAGTGTATCCAGCCAAACGTGTTCAATGTCTTTTGGACCTCCAACCGAGGCCAGCTTAGAAGTTAGGGTATTCATTCTTCTCGACCAAGTCATCGCTTGGCCACCTCTCCTCTTCTCTCATCCACACCTCCGGCGAGCAAACGACACACGTCGCGGGAGTCGGTGGACTGGCATCCCTAACACGTGGCCCAACCATCGGAGTCGGGTGGGTGAAACGACGGTGCTGAGCAGTTCAGTTCCTTTTCCTGTGACGTAAACAAGGGTTTGAACATGCTCGTCGCTCACACGTTGTTCCCATCAGGTGTAAGTCAAACTGCGAGGGCACCGGTGTCAAAGGTAACTAGCTTCTTTGTGTCCGCTGATCTAAGGGACCAACTTTCGCAACCGTACAGTAGGGTCGAACGTACCGCCGCATTGTACACTCTACTCTTCAGGGGAGCTTGACGTCGCGCCGGAGCCATAGGTGGCGAAGGTTAGCAAAAGCATTTCGAGCTTTTGCTATACGGTCTCATCTGCGATCCCAAAGGGGGCTGCTACAACTTCCCAGGTAGTTGCATTTCTGGACGACTTCTGGCTGATCCCCACCAAAGGTCAGCGCAGGAAGCGGTCCCAGCCAATCTTGGAGGAAAGCCATGCACTTCCATGGTTCAAAGTAAAGCCCAAAGCGGCTGACAGGCAGTGCCGCTTGGAACGTCTGAGGGCTGTCACAGATGAAAGCAATATCGCCTGCATACTCCAAGTCAAGAAGTCGTTCTTCTGGTAGTAGCTCCGCACCTTCTAACTCGTGTCCTGTGAATGCAATCTCTATGACCGTGAATAACGAAGTAGAAGAGCAAAGGTGACAGCGAGTATCCCCGTCACAGATCGATAAAGATACAGAACGACGGCGACAGCTCGCCGTAAGCCCTCAATCTGCCCGTGGTACGCGCGTATAGTGAGCGGAAAATAGTTACTTATTTCTCGGGCACACCTTTCCCAAGTAGACAGTCCTAAAGGTCACATCGATCAACTGAATCGAAGGCACCTTTTATGTCGAGGAACACGACTACGGTGGGCCGCCAATATGTACGATGGTGTTCCAACAGCCGACGCAAGGTGAAGAGGTGGTCGATGAAGCCACGACGACGACAAAACCCGGTTTGATTCTCACGAATCTGGCTAGCACGAACGCCAGTCAGTCTGTGATGGATTACAGATGCAAGCAATTTGGAGGCGATGAGGATCAGGCTGCTTCTTCTATGGTTGCCACACCCCAAACGCGAGCGTCCTATAAAGATTGGAACAATAAAGGAGCGGGTTCAGTCGGTTTGAACTTTTTCCTGCTCCCACCGTTTCAATAGTAATTGGTGTAAATCATCAACTAGAACTGGGCGCCCGAAATCGAAGACGGCTAAAAGAAGATCATCTGGTCCCGCTGCTTCATTCTACTTCAACAATCTGAGCTCAATTTTGACTTCTGAGCCAGACGGCAGATCCAAATGGACAGCGCAGGGAGCAGAGCGATCACTGGCCATTGAGGAATTTACCAATTCCGGTGGAGTAAATTGCTTTTCAAAATGCTCAGTCCAAGGTTCCAAATGTGTTGACAAATGGTGCATGGGCTGTCCACTCTCGTCATGTATATTTTCACTAACAACAGGTCGCCTGCTGCCCGTTTCCCGTATCAGATGGAATAGCTTACGCTGGTTACCAAGGGCAGCGACCACTTCCATCGCTGACGCACTTTGAGACCACCAGGATTTGCGGTCTCTCTTCAGGCTAGCACGTCCCTTTGTCCTGAGGTCTTTGCGAGTCTCATTGTGTTCGCTTCCAGCCGGAATGTGCCGGCGAGCATCGATAAGTACCAGGGACTGCGAAGAGACCTAATGTACATGTTGGTTATTAGACTGACGACATAAGGAGTTGCCTGCTGCTAGTAAGGTCTGGTGAACATGCGACCAGTGACCTTCAATGGTCTTCAGTGAGCGCTTACTCTACCCGCATGTCAGCGTATTTCCATACGAAGTCAGAACGTCTGGCTTCGCCAGTTGGCTGGTGTCAATGCGCTCACAGTGTCGCCGTGGGCGTCCGCCAAAACGCATCCGCAGATCAGCACATACAAGTGCACCGGCGGTGTCCACACATGTGCTCCAAATCGAGCAACAGTTCTGCACACAGCCTATCTATCAGTAACTGATTGCAATGTGATCGATTTCGTCCAACGCTGGTTCGACGTTGGTGGACGCCATGTCACCCTCCGGCGGGTGCTGTGTCATAAATTAGTGCTCGCAAGAAATAAGCGGACATCTTCACACAAATGAAGTAACCACTCACCGTCATCATTACGGGAGCCTACACCATGTTGACCGCCAAGGTGCAGTTTACCAATGGATAGTTTTCCAAATTGAACGTTCAGATCCCCAGCCAGCACTACAGTGTACGTGCTTCTCCTGTGGCGAAGTAGCTCGGTCTATTGGCGGTAGAACTCGTTTTTTACCGAAGCATCGCTAGAATTTGTGAGCATGTAGACAGCAATAATGAACAGACACCTATTGGACCCGCGCGACTTCGAAGCTCTGAACGAGCCAGCCAATCGAACCGCACACATCCGACTACTGATTGGAATCCAATCAAGCAGAGCAGCTTCAGCCCGGGGACTCAGGGCAGTACCAAAGCCACCACGAAGCTGCACCGCCACCGGATAGGCGCAATGAGAAAATAGTGCTGGTGCCACCTGAAGAGGAGCGCAGAGTAAGCACAGATCTCGAGTCTTGCAGGCGGGTCTCCGATAAGCAGCAGATATCGAGCGAGAGGGTCTCTAATGTTGACCGATCTGTAGCAATGTGCGTACATTGAGGTATGTCAATATGAAGGTGGATCGAGGGCTCCAAATGGAAGCCGGTGCACAAGGGTGGACCGCTTAATTGGAAATGGGCTTGCCGCCAGGACAGGAGTGACGTTCTGCGTTTAAATGTGAGTTGAAACTAGAAGATAAACGCTTAGCAAAGCAATTTGGAGGCGGGCCAATAAGCAGGGGTTGAAAACTGGGAAATAAAAATGAAGTTGGAACGGCACGATAAGGGTGCAATAGCTTAAGAAGGTGCATAAGAAGACAGGAAGGCTTGAGCAGTAACATCCAAAAGCTACCTCCACCCCGCTCTATGCAGCAGATAAGGCGCCGTTTATTATCCTCTGCAACGGCCAGAGCATCAAGAAATTGTTTGAATAGCTTATCTTGTGATGGGAGTATACACTCGAACGAACGTGCGGTGCCAGCCCAGCAAGGAAGCCGTTAGGCTGCCGCAAGGAAAGGCGGCAGCTGATTGGACGTTCACACGTTTCTCGCATGCACGCTGATTGGCCAACAGTTGGACGCATTGGAGTGAGTTTGTTTGACTGAATCAAAGGAAAAATGTCATGCATTCACAAAGGTCGTTAATTATGGATCCAACTAGCTGTATATACCGATATGTTTCACTCGCCCTCTGCCTGCGTTTTCGCCTGGTCCTTTTGTTTGCAGAATATACGTTTTGTCCCTGAAGGACCGACTTTTTACATGGTGTCAGAGAAGGAGAAGAACATTAGTACCACCCAGACGATGATTGGAGCTGCACCGGCTATTCAAATGCCTGCCCCGCTGAACATGGATGAACGCAGTTTGGCAAGCAACTGGCGTTTGTGGAAGAGCAAATGGATGGATTTCTGCACTTTATCGCGTCTGGACAAACAACCGATGGCGTACCGCTTGGCCATGTTTCGACACGCAGCAGGAGATGATGCGCGCCGCGTGCTAGAGACATTGTGTTACGACAAGAGCGAAGATGCCAACAATCTGGAGACAGTTCTTGAGAAGTTCAGTGAATACTGCGAAGGCCAAACAAACGAGACATTTCAACGCTACCTCTTCTTTTCGCGGAACAGGCGGCCAGGTGAATCCGTTGACACGTACGTCACTGAGCTAAAGATTTTGGCCCGATCCTGCAGTTTCTGTAAATGCATGGCGGACAGTCTCATACGGGACCGCATTGTTCTTGGGATCAATGACGAAGGTTTGACGAAGCGACTATTACGAAAGCGCAACCTATCTCTGCAGCAATGTATCGACATCTGTAACAGTGAGTCCTCCACTGCCTATCAGTTCCAGCAGATGACAATCACAGGTGATTCAGAGTTGTGCGCCGTTTCCAGGAGCAAAACTACGAGGGCCACGACCGCGCGACAGGAGCCCTGCAACTTCTGTGCAACACGACATCCGAGGAACCGCGAACAGTGTCCGGCGTGGGGCCGCATTTGTGTCAAATGTGGGAAGCGCAATCACTTCGCCCGCTGCTGTCAGTCGACAGATGTCAGTGCACTCGTTCCAGACAAATCAACAGAAGACACCGAACAATCGATTGGTAACGTGTCTCGGAAAGCGTCGCAGAAGTGTGTCTATGCAAGTCTTCTGATCGAGGGACGGTCTGTGCGATTCCAGTTAGACACAGGCGCGACGATCAATATTTTGCCCAGAAAGCACTGCCGCGGCGTGCAAATTCAATCGGATCAAGATTATTTGCGCATGTGGAATGGTTCCAGACTCAAGCCAAAGGGCTCAGCGACAATTGAAGTGGTCAATCCGAGAGACGGTGTTTCGCATCGTCTGCAGTTCGTGATCGTGGATGAGGATCTCACGCCGATTCTCGGCATTGATTCGATTTTATCTCTTGGCTTTGTCATTTTTAACCATGATCGTTTTGTGTACGCTTGTCAGAGTGAAGCCGATGTTAGTGACCTGTATCCGTCTGTGTTTAGCCCGGGTTTAGGGGAATTTGAGGGTACCGCTCACCTGTCGTTAGATCCTTTGGTACGCCCGATTGCGTTACCTGCTAGGAGAGTCCCATTTGCGCTACGTGACCGATTTTCCGCGGAATTGAACAAGCTGGTTATGCAGGGTGTGATTGCAAAGGTTGATGAGCCAACAGACTGGGTTAGCCAGGTCGCAATCATTACGAAGAAAAATGGCGAACTACGCGTATGTATAGACCCGAAGCCACTGAATGAGGCCCTGCGTAGAGAACATTATGCGCTACCGACGTTAGAAGATGTTTTACCACGTTTGACAAAAGCTAAGTTTTTCACGAAAGTAGACCTTTCTTCCGCATTCTGGCACGTTGTTCTAGACGACGAATCCAGTTTCCTCACCACATTTGCTACACCGTTCGGACGTTATCGTTGGCTGCGATTACCGTTTGGCCTGAAGGTGTCTAGCGAAATTTTCCAAAAGCGTTTGGTGCAAGCAATAGATGATTTAGATGGCGTAACCTGTGTGGCAGATGACGTTCTGATTTACGGTTCTACCGAAGAAGAGCATGACACTAAGCTACACCGGTTCCTGAGGCGTTGCGTGCAAAAGAACATCAAGCTAAAACGCGAGAAAGTAGAGCTGCGGAAAGAGGAGGTGATTTTCCATGGGCATGTGTTAACATCCGACGGAATCAGGGTTGACCCAGGGAAGATTAAGGCGATACAAGAGATGCCGTCCCCTAACGATGTGAAGGCAGTCCATCGCCTAAACGGTATGGTGAATTATTTAAGCCGGTTCCTACCAGGACTCGCTGATGTCATGACTCCGATTAGGCAGTTAACTCACAAAGGAGTAAATTGGAGCTGGGGGAAGGAACAGGATTTGGCTTTCGCAACCATTAAGAACCTTATCAGTAATGCGCCCGTACTCGGATATTACGATCCAGCACAACCATTGGAGGTACAGTGTGATAGTAGCCAGAGTGGAATAGGTGCTGTTCTGTTGCAGAACGGAAGACCTTTGGATTTCCGCAGTCGAGCACTCACAGAGGCCGAGAAGCGGTACGCACAGATCGAGAAAGAGATGCTGGCAGTGGTCTATGCCATGGAGCGTTTCAATGATTATACTTTTGGAAGAAAGACAACCGTGTACACTGATCATAAGCCGCTGGTGTCGATAGCCACTAAACCACTGAATAACGTTCCTCGCCGTCTGCAGCGTATGCTTATCCGGCTCCAAAAGTATGACATTGACATTGTGTACACACCTGGCACACAGATGTTCATCGCGGACACCCTGTCGAGAGCACATCCGCCAGTGGCCGAACATCATCTAGAAGAGATCGAGACAGTTAGCATGGTGCAGCATCTGGCAGTGACAGAAAACCGTTTGAAAGACATAAGGCGTTTCACGGAGGAAGACCAAACTTTTGCAGCTTTGCGAGACGTTATCCTCAATGGGTGGCCAGAAACAAAGAAGCAGCTCCCGAAGGAATTAACACCCTACTTCAATTTTCGGGACGAACTCACTGTCTGTGACGGTCTGTTGTTCAAGGGAAGTCGAATCCTAATCCCTTCTTCTCTCCGAAAGGAGATGCTGGAGCATGTCCATCGCGCTCACCTGGGTGCAAATTACACCATTAATCGAGCAAGAGAACTGATGTTCTGGCCAGGAATGACAGGTCAGATCAAGGATCATGTGTCTAACTGTGAGGCGTGCCGTTCACACGACATTCGGCAAACGAAGGAACCGATGATGCTGCATGATGTTCCGGACCGACCGTGGCAAAAGGTAGCAGTGGATCTATTCTGGGACAACGGAAAGGATTACTTACTCACGGTGGACTACTATAGTGATTACTTTGAAATCGATTTACTCACCACCACGACCACGGAGGCAGTAATCAACAAACTCAGATGTCAATTCGCACGGCACGGGATACCGGAGGAGCTAGTCTCGGACAACGGTCCCCAGTTCAGCAGCAGGGCATTCCAGGCTTTCGCAACCAAATGGGAATTCGCACACCGGCAAACCAGTCCCTATCACAGTCAATCAAATGGGAAGGCAGAGTCGGCAGTGAAGCAAGCCAAGCGACTATTAGCGAAGGCTAGAGATACTCGGGAGGACCCATACCTCATGCTACTGGAGAGTCGCAACACTCCTTCAACGGATATCGGCCTGAGCCCAGTGCAGCGCCTATACAGTCGAAGGACCAGAACTGTGATGCCTGCATCCGCAACACTTCTGCGCCCTGTCACGCCACAACTTGAGAAAGTACAGAACAGTTTGAAAAGGCGAATGGCTACTCAGAAACGGTACTACGACAACGGCGCACGGGAATTACCTGAGCTGACAGTGGGGGAAGAAGTATGGGTTGAACCAATTCCCGATGGACAGGAGCGGTGGAGAAAAGGAGTCGTGGCTGCGAAAGTCGGTGAAAGGTCATACGAAGTAAATGTTGGAGGGAAGAAGCTGAGAAGAAACCGAGTACAGCTGAGGAGATGTCCGAGGCGACAGCATGAATCAGGGAGAGAGCGTTATACTGCGTGCGGCAATGAGGCGACATCGGCAGATCCAACAAAGAGGACGCGGAGTGGTAAAGTGTATGGACTATTTAGCAAAGTACAGCAGCAAGAACATGAAAAAAGGGAGGATGTGATGGGAGTATACACTCGAACGAACGTGCGGTGCCAGCCCAGCAAGGAAGCCGTTAGGCTGCCGCAAGGAAAGGCGGCAGCTGATTGGACGTTCACACGTTTCTCGCATGCACGCTGATTGGCCAACAGTTGGACGCATTGGAGTGAGTTTGTTTGACTGAATCAAAGGAAAAATGTCATGCATTCACAAAGGTCGTTAATTATGGATCCAACTAGCTGTATATACCGATATGTTTCACTCGCCCTCTGCCTGCGTTTTCGCCTGGTCCTTTTGTTTGCAGAATATACGTTTTGTCCCTGAAGGACCGACTTTTTACATGGTGTCAGAGAAGGAGAAGAACATTAGTACCACCCAGACGATGATTGGAGCTGCACCGGCTATTCAAATGCCTGCCCCGCTGAACATGGATGAACGCAGTTTGGCAAGCAACTGGCGTTTGTGGAAGAGCAAATGGATGGATTTCTGCACTTTATCGCGTCTGGACAAACAACCGATGGCGTACCGCTTGGCCATGTTTCGACACGCAGCAGGAGATGATGCGCGCCGCGTGCTAGAGACATTGTGTTACGACAAGAGCGAAGATGCCAACAATCTGGAGACAGTTCTTGAGAAGTTCAGTGAATACTGCGAAGGCCAAACAAACGAGACATTTCAACGCTACCTCTTCTTTTCGCGGAACAGGCGGCCAGGTGAATCCGTTGACACGTACGTCACTGAGCTAAAGATTTTGGCCCGATCCTGCAGTTTCTGTAAATGCATGGCGGACAGTCTCATACGGGACCGCATTGTTCTTGGGATCAATGACGAAGGTTTGACGAAGCGACTATTACGAAAGCGCAACCTATCTCTGCAGCAATGTATCGACATCTGTAACAGTGAGTCCTCCACTGCCTATCAGTTCCAGCAGATGACAATCACAGGTGATTCAGAGTTGTGCGCCGTTTCCAGGAGCAAAACTACGAGGGCCACGACCGCGCGACAGGAGCCCTGCAACTTCTGTGCAACACGACATCCGAGGAACCGCGAACAGTGTCCGGCGTGGGGCCGCATTTGTGTCAAATGTGGGAAGCGCAATCACTTCGCCCGCTGCTGTCAGTCGACAGATGTCAGTGCACTCGTTCCAGACAAATCAACAGAAGACACCGAACAATCGATTGGTAACGTGTCTCGGAAAGCGTCGCAGAAGTGTGTCTATGCAAGTCTTCTGATCGAGGGACGGTCTGTGCGATTCCAGTTAGACACAGGCGCGACGATCAATATTTTGCCCAGAAAGCACTGCCGCGGCGTGCAAATTCAATCGGATCAAGATTATTTGCGCATGTGGAATGGTTCCAGACTCAAGCCAAAGGGCTCAGCGACAATTGAAGTGGTCAATCCGAGAGACGGTGTTTCGCATCGTCTGCAGTTCGTGATCGTGGATGAGGATCTCACGCCGATTCTCGGCATTGATTCGATTTTATCTCTTGGCTTTGTCATTTTTAACCATGATCGTTTTGTGTACGCTTGTCAGAGTGAAGCCGATGTTAGTGACCTGTATCCGTCTGTGTTTAGCCCGGGTTTAGGGGAATTTGAGGGTACCGCTCACCTGTCGTTAGATCCTTTGGTACGCCCGATTGCGTTACCTGCTAGGAGAGTCCCATTTGCGCTACGTGACCGATTTTCCGCGGAATTGAACAAGCTGGTTATGCAGGGTGTGATTGCAAAGGTTGATGAGCCAACAGACTGGGTTAGCCAGGTCGCAATCATTACGAAGAAAAATGGCGAACTACGCGTATGTATAGACCCGAAGCCACTGAATGAGGCCCTGCGTAGAGAACATTATGCGCTACCGACGTTAGAAGATGTTTTACCACGTTTGACAAAAGCTAAGTTTTTCACGAAAGTAGACCTTTCTTCCGCATTCTGGCACGTTGTTCTAGACGACGAATCCAGTTTCCTCACCACATTTGCTACACCGTTCGGACGTTATCGTTGGCTGCGATTACCGTTTGGCCTGAAGGTGTCTAGCGAAATTTTCCAAAAGCGTTTGGTGCAAGCAATAGATGATTTAGATGGCGTAACCTGTGTGGCAGATGACGTTCTGATTTACGGTTCTACCGAAGAAGAGCATGACACTAAGCTACACCGGTTCCTGAGGCGTTGCGTGCAAAAGAACATCAAGCTAAAACGCGAGAAAGTAGAGCTGCGGAAAGAGGAGGTGATTTTCCATGGGCATGTGTTAACATCCGACGGAATCAGGGTTGACCCAGGGAAGATTAAGGCGATACAAGAGATGCCGTCCCCTAACGATGTGAAGGCAGTCCATCGCCTAAACGGTATGGTGAATTATTTAAGCCGGTTCCTACCAGGACTCGCTGATGTCATGACTCCGATTAGGCAGTTAACTCACAAAGGAGTAAATTGGAGCTGGGGGAAGGAACAGGATTTGGCTTTCGCAACCATTAAGAACCTTATCAGTAATGCGCCCGTACTCGGATATTACGATCCAGCACAACCATTGGAGGTACAGTGTGATAGTAGCCAGAGTGGAATAGGTGCTGTTCTGTTGCAGAACGGAAGACCTTTGGATTTCCGCAGTCGAGCACTCACAGAGGCCGAGAAGCGGTACGCACAGATCGAGAAAGAGATGCTGGCAGTGGTCTATGCCATGGAGTCCTTTGGTACGCCCGATTGCGTTACCTGCTAGGAGAGTCCCATTTGCGCTACGTGACCGATTTTCCGCGGAATTGAACAAGCTGGTTATGCAGGGTGTGATTGCAAAGTTTGATGAGCCAACAGACTGGGTTAGCCAGGTCGCAATCATTACGAAGAAAAATGGCGAACTACGCGTATGTATAGACCCGAAGCCACTGAATGAGGCCCTGCGTAGAGAACATTATGCGCTACCGACGTTAGAAGATGTTTTACCACGTTTGACAAAAGCTAAGTTTTCACGAAAGTAGACCTTTCTTCCGCATTCTGGCACGTTGTTCTAGACGACGAATCCAGTTTCCTCACCACATTTGCTACACCGTTCGGACGTTATCGTTGGCTGCGATTACCGTTTGGCCTGAAGGTGTCTAGCGAAATTTTCCAAAAGCGTTTGGTGCAAGCAATAGATGATTTAGATGGCGTAACCTGTGTGGCAGATGACGTTCTGATTTACGGTTCTACCGAAGAAGAGCATGACACTAAGCTACACCGGTTCCTGAGGCGTTGCGTGCAAAAGAACATCAAGCTAAAACGCGAGAAAGTAGAGCTGCGGAAAGAGGAGGTGATTTTCCATGGGCATGTGTTAACATCCGACGGAATCAGGGTTGACCCAGGGAAGATTAAGGCGATACAAGAGATGCCGTCCCCTAACGATGTGAAGGCAGTCCATCGCCTAAACGGTATGGTGAATTATTTAAGCCGGTTCCTACCAGGACTCGCTGATGTCATGACTCCGATTAGGCAGTTAACTCACAAAGGAGTAAATTGGAGCTGGGGGAAGGAACAGGATTTGGCTTTCGCAACCATTAAGAACCTTATCAGTAATGCGCCCGTACTCGGATATTACGATCCAGCACAACCATTGGAGGTACAGTGTGATAGTAGCCAGAGTGGAATAGGTGCTGTTCTGTTGCAGAACGGAAGACCTTTGGATTTCCGCAGTCGAGCACTCACAGAGGCCGAGAAGCGGTACGCACAGATCGAGAAAGAGATGCTGGCAGTGGTCTATGCCATGGAGCGTTTCAATGATTATACTTTTGGAAGAAAGACAACCGTGTACACTGATCATAAGCCGCTGGTGTCGATAGCCACTAAACCACTGAATAACGTTCCTCGCCGTCTGCAGCGTATGCTTATCCGGCTCCAGAAGTATGACATTGACATTGTGTACACACCTGGCACACAGATGTTCATCGCGGACACCCTGTCGAGAGCACATCCGCCAGTGGCCGAACATCATCTAGAAGAGATCGAGACAGTTAGCATGGTGCAGCATCTGGCAGTGACAGAAAACCGTTTGAAAGACATAAGGCGTTTCACGGAGGAAGACCAAACTTTTGCAGCTTTGCGAGACGTTATCCTCAATGGGTGGCCAGAAACAAAGAAGCAGCTCCCGAAGGAATTAACACCCTACTTCAATTTTCGGGACGAACTCACTGTCTGTGACGGTCTGTTGTTCAAGGGAAGTCGAATCCTAATCCCTTCTTCTCTCCGAAAGGAGATGCTGGAGCATGTCCATCGCGCTCACCTGGGTGCAAATTACACCATTAATCGAGCAAGAGAACTGATGTTCTGGCCAGGAATGACAGGTCAGATCAAGGATCATGTGTCTAACTGTGAGGCGTGCCGTTCACACGACATTCGGCAAACGAAGGAACCGATGATGCTGCATGATGTTCCGGACCGACCGTGGCAAAAGGTAGCAGTGGATCTATTCTGGGACAACGGAAAGGATTACTTACTCACGGTGGACTACTATAGTGATTACTTTGAAATCGATTTACTCACCACCACGACCACGGAGGCAGTAATCAACAAACTCAGATGTCAATTCGCACGGCACGGGATACCGGAGGAGCTAGTCTCGGACAACGGTCCCCAGTTCAGCAGCAGGGCATTCCAGGCTTTCGCAACCAAATGGGAATTCGCACACCGGCAAACCAGTCCCTATCACAGTCAATCAAATGGGAAGGCAGAGTCGGCAGTGAAGCAAGCCAAGCGACTATTAGCGAAGGCTAGAGATACTCGGGAGGACCCATACCTCATGCTACTGGAGAGTCGCAACACTCCTTCAACGGATATCGGCCTGAGCCCAGTGCAGCGCCTATACAGTCGAAGGACCAGAACTGTGATGCCTGCATCCGCAACACTTCTGCGCCCTGTCACGCCACAACTTGAGAAAGTACAGAACAGTTTGAAAAGGCGAATGGCTACTCAGAAACGGTACTACGACAACGGCGCACGGGAATTACCTGAGCTGACAGTGGGGGAAGAAGTATGGGTTGAACCAATTCCCGATGGACAGGAGCGGTGGAGAAAAGGAGTCGTGGCTGCGAAAGTCGGTGAAAGGTCATACGAAGTAAATGTTGGAGGGAAGAAGCTGAGAAGAAACCGAGTACAGCTGAGGAGATGTCCGAGGCGACAGCATGAATCAGGGAGAGAGCGTTATACTGCGTGCGGCAATGAGGCGACATCGGCAGATCCAACAAAGAGGACGCGGAGTGGTAAAGTGTATGGACTATTTAGCAAAGTACAGCAGCAAGAACATGAAAAAAGGAGGATGTGATGGGAGTATACACTCGAACGAACGTGCGGTGCCAGCCCAGCAAGGAAGCCGTTAGGCTGCCGCAAGGAAAGGCGGCAGCTGATTGGACGTTCACACGTTTCTCGCATGCACGCTGATTGGCCAACAGTTGGACGCATTGGAGTGAGTTTGTTTGACTGAATCAAAGGAAAAATGTCATGCATTCACAAAGGTCGTTAATTATGGATCCAACTAGCTGTATATACCGATATGTTTCACTCGCCCTCTGCCTGCGTTTTCGCCTGGTCCGTTGTTTGCAGAATATACGTTTTGTCCCTGAAGGACCGACTTTTTACATGGTGTCAGAGAAGGAGAAGAACATTAGTACCACCCAGACGATGATTGGAGCTGCACCGGCTATTCAAATGCCTGCCCCGCTGAACA